ATATTAGTTAATATATATTAGTTAATATATATTAACTATTTATTGAATAGTTAATAAATAGTTACAAATACACATGAAAATGTAACAAAATAAGTTTAGTTATATAAAAAACTAGGTCCACTTGGGTGCCACATGTTGGAAATAGTAGCGAGGCATTTCAACATGCTATCACAAATATGCAGGAAGGTGGATCTTATGTATAAATAGCATAAAAAGCCAAGGGCAGTCATGTCCACTATGAACCTCAAAAGCAGAGAAAACCCACAGGACAGGGAAAAACAGAAGTTGCCTACATGACGGATCTCAAAAAGAGCTGTCATGGGATCATTAAGCTCCTGGAATTTTACTTCAGTTTTTGAATCCTCTGTTTATTCACTGAGAAAAAACTATCTTTCCATCTATACAAGTCCACACAGCAAGTGCTACCTTGTCTGTGAAATACACAATAGGAATAATAGTAAAAAAGAAAAGAAGGGATGGGAAACCTTCTGTGTGCCAGGAACTTTTCTAAATATGACATGCTATCTCATTTGAAAGCCACAAAACCTCAGCAAGCTCAGGAACATTTCATTCTTGCACATCGGTTTTGTCTTCATTGTGCCTCTCAGTAACCCTATGAGGACAAAGGCTAAGTTTCTAGTCTCGTCTTCGGAGACATTGGTGACCTGGCCCTACTGTACCCTAACAGCTTGAGTCCTTACATTCCACACCCTATGTCACAGTCACATCAGCCAGCCTGCTATTTTCTGCACACATCATAGAATCTTTTAGGAAAGATCATTTTCAGCCCCAAAAAACTTTTCCTAAATTAGACTTTCATGTCCCACCCTTTTATTCATCCACCAATTTGGAGATATGAAAATGGACCCACTACAGTTCCTGAGTTTGAAAATCTTACTTTCTAGAGGTGATACTGTCATATGAGAACAGGAAATACTTTCCCCATCCTCAGCAAAAGGAAATCCTTCTTACTCTGATCCTTATTCAGGTACATTTTTCATTTGTCTACTTTCTACCTGGTTTTCCACAAACTCATAAGCTGTACCCTTTAGGATAAAGATACACATAAATTACTCAAAATGTTAACTAATGAGAGACTTGAAATGAATGAGACTGGTCATATAGAGTATTTAAGAAATTGTCTGGTGACCCAAGGAAGCTGCAGACAGCTGACTCATACATTTTCAGAAAGATGGTTGCAATCCTATAATCATGAAAAAGTGTTCTAGGGATTTCCTTGTCCTAACCATGAGAATCACAAAATCAGCCTCTTTTTAGAGTTCTCCTTTCTTTAATGTAGTCATTATTGTTGCTGACTTGTTGATAGAGCTGGAATCTTAATGACTCAAAGACAGGTAAGTTTATAAGCTTTACAATCTGGCTGATTGCAGAGCAGTCTAGGGTCTAACAGGAATGTGACCTTGGACAAATTTCCTGCCTCTAAAGTGCTCAGTTCCCTCCTCCACAAAATGAAAATGAAATACGTGTCTCTGCGTTTTGTGGTGTCATAAATACAAAAAATTGCACTTAGAAGAGTACCCAGCACAGTGCTGGAAAGCATTTTCTGGATAAAATGCTAGAAAGTTTCTATCCTATTTGCTAAGACACTGCTAGTTTCTTTTTTCTTTTTTGAAAGTTATTTATTTGTTATAGGGTCTCATTATGCAGCTCAGACTTACAGTGATCCTCCTGTCTCAGCCTTCATAGTGCTGGGATTACAGGAGTGCACCACCATGCCAAGTCTTAGTGGCCGGCTCAGCATGCCCAGGGGTGGGGCCAGCACAGCATGTGGTGCTGGGAATCAAACCCTGGTCCCTGCTCTTGCTAAGCAGGTTCTTAGGTGGCTGAGCTTTCTCACCAGCCCTGCTAGTTTTTTTTTATGAAGCCGGGAGAAATAACAACCAGTAATTAAGAGAAAGGTCAGAAGCCCACAACTATTAACAACTATTTAAGCAATTTTTAGGGGGTTTGTTTTTTTCTTGTCTAAATTAAGGTGCTCATAATGTATATAATTTCACAATCTAACATACATCTCATTAAAGTAACTGTATTTTAAAATTCTGAAGGAAAAATATTATATTAACCATGGAAGACCATTTACCTTTCCATCCATTTCCCTTTCCATGACTTAAGAATATTATTAAATATCCTAATTTTATTTTCAACTTCAATGTCAGCTTTGTTTTACTGTTTATGGAAAAATAAGATGAAGGCCCAAACAAAATAATTAAGCTTATATTTATAACAAGTGGGTTAAGTAAAACTATAAGTACAATGCCTCAAATTCAATAATTCTGCATGATTCTAGCAAAGTGGAAACACCATTTACTTAATAGGTTGAATAACAGTGTAAAAGAAGAAATGAAGTAAGCAATGCTCTTTAAATCATAATTTTGAACTTTCGTGATGGTTTTCATAAAAATTTATTGACACTTAGTTTGGCAATAATGCCATCTTATACAACCCCAAGGAAAAACAAGTCTTGAAATATGGGATTTTGTTTTACTTCCGGAGACGTTTCACTATAAGAAAAGATATATTTGTTTTAAACAGTTTAACATCGACAAAGAGGCCGGTGAAAGGCAGATTTACCATCGCTACTGCATGGAGCGGGCATCTGTCCACTGTGCCCATGTGTTCACCACAGTGTCTGAAATCACAGCGATCGAGGCAGAACATATGCTGAAGAGAAAGCCTGGTAATTTTTGTCCCTGAGTTTATTACCTTTCTTTCAACTGTAAATGGATTAAGCATGAAGAGTTTTTTTCATCATGAAGTAGTAATTCTAGGAAAACTGTATTCACTGTTACCATCCAAATCTCCTTTTGTTGTTGTGTTTGGTACAGGGAATTGAACTCATGACCTCATATTTGCCAAACAGGTGTCACTGAACCCACTACCCAAATATTTACATGTATTTTCATTTTAAATTTCAGTAGTTTTGCAGTGAAAAACCAATATTAGCTATATCTGGAAAACAGAGTTCGGTCTATACTTGTTGGATAAATGAATTAGGTTTGAAATGACTTAGGTAAGAACACAATTGACCCCTGACACCCCTGGGCATGCTGAGCTGGCAATGGAGTCCAGGTATAGTGGAGGCTGCCTGTGATCCCAGTGTTGAGGAGACTTTAAACAGGAGGATCACTATGAGTCCAAGCTTCATAATGAGACCCTGCACACACAAACAAAAAAAGAACACAGTTGGCATTCCATGTCTGAAAGCAAACTGAGTTAATATGATTTTAGAAAATGAAAGAAAAAATTTTGGAAGTTTGTATTAGATTATCCCAGTCTTACATTTTAGCCTAGTCACTCATTAGTACAGTTTGGTGGAAATCTATTGTTTTATTTCTCTGCACGACCCCTTGGAACTTTTTTTTTCAGAAACTATTTCCAAACCTAACCAGAATCTGAAATGCAAAGAAATGTACTCATAACAGAATCCTTTCAACTGGCCATAACTAATTGGTTCAAAATTAAACACTTGACATGAGCTGGACCAATAGAAATGCTCCCCCTAGAAAGGAGTCTAAACAGACTAGTGTCTGTTTGAAGGCATCCTTGTGTAATGGAATGTTGAGGCTATTGACAGTGTGCATATTTATATTCTGTTCCACTGGATACAGGAAGGTTAAACTGCAGTGAGCAGAAACAGAGAAGCCTTTAGGTTCTTTGAAGCAGATTAGCTATTCTTAAGGCCTAGCTGGATCTTTGCCCTGAGACACTCCACCTTCCTATGAACAAATTCTTCATTTTACACTTAAGCTAATGTTACTCTATTTCTATTATTTGCAACAAGATGATCCTAATCAATAAATCCTTGCTGGATTCCTGTGGTCTGGCCTTTAGGTGTCTTATTTTCAGGTTCTACTTGGATGTACAGAGGAGGTATTTCAAGGTATTCAATAGAACAAAAACAAACACACAAACAAAAAATAGGAATGAAACTAATAAATAATGGCAGCAAATCATCTATGTTATGGTAGTCCTTTTTCCTTCCAAAGATTTTGAATTCTTTTGGGTTTTCACACTGGCGTGTCTCACAGTGTACAGTTTCAATAGGCTTATTTCTCTCCCGAATCTCTTCTTTTTCTCCATTTCAATTTCCTTTTATGAGCTTACACACATGCTTTTTTTTTCCTATTCTAAAATGAAATTTCTCTTCCTTCCTCTTGCTGCCAATTATCTTGAAAGACTAAAACCATAGTTTCTGTATTCACTCTCCAGACCTTTGTATTCTGACTTCTATCCTGCAAAATGAGCTTGAAATTGATTTTCTAAAAAATCATCAAATTCAGAATTCAATGATTTTTTTAAGTGTTCTTTGATATTTCCTGGTATTAAAAGCAATACACATTTTTTTTATTTTTTCATAATATTGCAGATACTGAGTTCTATATGATGATTTTTTTCATGCTTTATATTAATTTTATTGAGAAAGAAATATCAATGAGAGAGTTTCAAAACAGGTAATTAGGACAGATAATAGTTAATACATTGCATGTTGTTGTCTTTGTAGTAGTTATTTATGGTACAAGATGCAGACATGATAGCTTGTCTAAACACTATTAGTTCAAAACTTTCTTCTCATTGAACTAAGAGAAAGTAGCTGTATATTTATTCTATTTTGTATATACATATATTTTTTTCACTACAAAATGGTCCTTCATTTATATTCCCCTTTTTTGATGTGTCTGATAGCTTTTCTATTTTCTTCTGTCTTCTATGATTAGGCATTCTGGCCTGGGAATGTACCTCAGTGTTAGCGCATTTGCCTGGCTTGTGTGAGGCCTTGAGTTCAACACTGCAAACAAGCAAAAACAGAAAACAAAACCAAGCAAACAAAAGTAGTCACACTCCAAAATTAAGCTGGATTTTGTTTCACTATTGACTATTTTTTTAAGTTTTTGTTTTCATAGGGACACAGGTACAGAGTAGTGGTGAAGATCTCAGGCTCGATGCCAAACTTTCTAAATTCAGAATCAAAAATCATTTTGTGCTGAATACATGCTACTAGCTGTGTCATGTTGTACAAGCTACTCAGGCTTCCTGTATCTGTCCTTCGTAATGTGGGTGGCAGTCCTGTCTGTTCCATAGAACTGTTGTAATGACTTAAAGAACTAATATGTGGAAAGAACTCAGCTAGTTGCCTAGTCCATTGAAAAGGTCCGGAAAAAGTTAATGATAATTCCACAAGGGTAATTATCCAGGTTTTTTCAAGTTCTCATGTGCCTTATTAGATAACCACTAGCTAGTTTCACCTAAAATTTCTAACAAAACTATACACACTGTAATCTAATCCACTTTCACACGAGTGTTAGAACCTCATCATGGCTCTGACTGAAGTTGTGAAATTTCTGAATGTTTTGAGGCTCAAGAAGGTAAATAGACTTTTAGTAAATGATTAAACATATGAAGTTATCCAAGAACACTCTAAAAAGAAAAGAAGGCATCATGTGGCATAACTATGATTTTGATTTCTCTAGCTTTCCTGAAGTCCTCCCCAGTTAAAAATATAACCACAACCACAATGCCAGGGCATATTCCCAATCAAGAATTAACTGTTGGCTGGGTTCAAAGCTTACATAGGATGAGGTTCCTAAAAAAAAAAAAATCATTGTATACTAATTGTGAAACATTTATTGCTATATTATTATGATTTTATCATAAATTTGACTCACTTTCTAATGTTAAAAAGATGATAATTTGTTTATAATATTGGAGAAAAGGTAAATATATTGTTTTCGTAGGGACCCAGGTGCAGAGTAGTGGTGAAAATCTCAGGCTTGATGCTTAGCCTTCTAAAAGTTTTCTAAATTCAGTAACAAAATTGATTTTGTTAATAATATATATATATATATATATATATATTAGAAGTTACACCTGAAATGTCAGTGTTTAAATTTGTCATTTGTCCTTTAAGATATATTTTGCACATATTGATTTCTGAGCCTATGCTAATATCTTAATTTGAACTTTAGTGTTTCTTCACTCTGTTGGTGTTACCCACCTTCAAAGAGGTAGAAAAGGTCATCATCTTCTAGTTGGGAACAATAACAAGAAATTAGTAGGTAATGTTGCTCCAGGGAGACAAAGAAAACAAAGGAACGTAAGTGCAAAAGAAACATTTCTAGTTGTGTATTCTGAATTTTTCAAGCTTAAATGATATGACTATATGACTTTAGTAAATTAATTATGTAAATAAGTACACTCACAGAAACTAGCTACACTAGCTAACAAAATAAATTTGGGGGCATTACCACCAGTGTGGGGAAGCTATTCACAAATTAAGGATTCTCTTCCTTGTATAGAAACACTGAATGGATTGAGGGTATTTGCGATGCTAAAGTCACATTAGTCTTTGTACTCTAGAGCATATTGTCACTACATAAGAATGCCTTTATAATGCTATATATTTGAATCGGGCATAGAAATATGTTCTAAAACTTTTCGCTTTTTGCCAGGCAGGTATTGAACCAATGAGATAACTCCCCAGCCCACTTTTTGATTTTTAAAATATGCCAGTTACTTTACATAAATTAGTTCTTTGAAAGTTTTCAACTAACATAATATTAAAATGTCAGCAAGTATAATCAAGGGTGTCTGCTTATGATTCAAAGGTAGAGATTTTTTGGTGTGTGCGTATTAGTAATACAGAATAATGCGATTTGTTTCTGTGTACAAGTACATGCACTTAACATATTTTAACTACCTTTACCTCCTCATCCTCTCTCCTTTTCCTCCTCTCTCATTTCATAAGCCTCATGAGCAATGGTGTGCTAGGACTAGCTAGAACTAGCTTATACTGGCTTGCAAGACACAGTTGTTAAATTTCAGGATGTTTGTGAACTGGTTGTGAAAAATAGCCATTCTGGAAGATTAAATGTATAAAGTGACAATTAAACAAGTATACAAATATTTTAAAATTTTCACTTCCTAATCAGTTTTAGTATGTTTTACCATGATCATGCATCTATAAATATATGTATACATATACATATAATTTATATAGTTGAAATACTATAATGCTAGTGCTTTAAAAATACATGTTCAGTGCAGACACAGTTTTTTTCAAATATTTATAGATACTACATGTAGGAGTAGTCATCTGTCTGTATCTGAGAGCTCTGCAGTCAGAGATCAAAGTAATCATGAATAAAATATAGACAGAAATCACTGGCCTGTATGGAACATTTATTATTATTATTATTATTATTATTTTATTTATTATTATTATTAT